TGTGTTGTACAGCTGAAACTAATTCTATAAAATGTGTATTTCACAATAAAAAATAATTAAAAAAAGAATATAATGTCCTAAAAGATAAGTGGTATTATGAAAAATAAGTCATGAGAGAATAGGACGTGTGGGTGAGAGTAGACATTGAAATTTTAATAAGGTGGCCAGGAAAGACTTCAAGTGACATTTGAGCAAAGAGTTAAAGTAGGTAGAGGAACAAACCCTGTGTAAAATCCAATTTTAGGTAAATAGAATGACAAGTACAAAGTCCCAAGCACTTACTTATTTAACATTTACTGTCAAATAAATGGTTATGGTTGGAGTAGAACTCCACTTTCTACATGTGACCCAAATCTAATCAACACATCTGATTTCCCCGGCCACATTTCCCTGTGATTGGGTATTTAGGTTGTTTCCTTCTTCTTTTTTGCTTCTTTTCTTTTCTTTTCTCTTCCTATCCTACCACAAATTACGCTGTAATTAATTTTTATGATTGCCTTTTAAATATTTCTATAGGATAGAGTCCTAGAAGTAGACAGCCTTGGTTCATATTGCTAAATTGTTTCCAGAGAAATTATACCAATTTCTATTTCAACAATCAGCATAGACAAGGACCTATTTCATTAAATGTTTGCCAGTACTGAATAGTCCCATAAAAAAGAAATTGTTAATTTGGTATATGAGAATTCTATCACATTTTAATTTAAAGTAATAAAAATAAAAAAGAAATTGTTAATTTGGTATATGAGAATGCTATCACATTTTAATTTAAAGTAATAAAAATTTACTTAATTATTAGTGAGGTTGAATTTAAAAAGATATTTCTAAACCACAACTTGGTAAAAATTCAAAGGATTGATAATATCCAGGTTTAACAAAGATGCAAGGAAGGAGATACCTTACTTACTCTGTGGATAGGAGTGTTAACTGGTAAAGAACTTTTAGAAGGGAGTTTGATAATATTCAATAAAATTTCAGAAGTTCTATATCCTTAGGCCAGCATTACACTTCCATTGAGAAATCTACTAACTAGAATTACCTACTTACACATGTACACAAAGATGAATATACTGTACTGGACTTCACAGTCATTCATAACAGCAAAAAATATATATATAGTCTAGTATCCACCAATAAAGTAGTAAAGTAGCATATAAACATATTATAGAATACCACACAACATATTTATCCTTATGGAAAGATCTTCAGGAGTTTTGCAACAACAACAAAAAGATGCACCTGAACAAAATATATAGTAAGGAAAATAAAAACTATATGTATTTGTTCATATAAATATGAATAGAAAGGAAATGGACTATAAAAAACAAATCAAACTTTGAACTGATTTACTCTAATGAAGGAGTAAAAGTTGGAGGAGAGGGTGGAATGACTGTAAGACTTATTTCTATATACCTCCATAAAGTTTAAGATTCAGAAAATGTTTTTTAACTTTTGTTTGTGTAATAAAATTTTTATAGTATTACATGAGATAATGCATTATACAAATGTTCGCGATACATGAGCTCTAGAATTGATAAAATTCTACTGATATGTCATCCTCATATCTAGGATAATAACATTTTAGTAATGAAATGAGCTTTGAGATCATTTGCCTGCAATTCCTCATTTTACACAAGTTAAAACTGAGGGCCAAACAGATGATTTTTAGAATGATAGTTAACTATAAGATCTTTAAAGTAAAAAATATAGGGCCGGCCAAGTGGCTCAGTTGGTTAAGAGCTTGCTCAAGAGTGCGAGCTCTAAGCAACAGGGTCACTGGTTCGATTCTGACATGGGCCCGAGCTGAGCAGCCGCTGAGGTGCCAACAGGTGGCAGGATGGCTCAGCTAAAGAAAAAATAAAATAAAAAATATAAATCCACAGTTCTCTTTAAAAAAGGAATTCAGCAGAAACGCTCAACTATAATACTTTGAACTTCCAATAATGTCCACTGTCGAAGTGCTGAAAGGCACTTTGAAGGATTTATTTTCTGTCTCAAGTAAAGATCCTCAACGACATTACTCTAATCATAAAAATTACTGACACTTTCTAAAGAATATATTAACTATGTATTTTTCAAGGTTTTCTAGGAAGCCTATATAATTGAACCATAATAACTCTATTTCCCTCACTAGCTTGTCTTTATGAAGCTCTTCTTCAACATATCTCAAACTATACCCAAAGACTGATAATTTTTTAAATTCCTAAATGAAAAGCATTTGTGTTTTCTATAATACTAAAAAATTTCTAAAATATGTTTCATTGTTTATACTTCTGAGGTTCTTATAAAGATGTCTATAACAAATTTCTCTTAACTCAGAATCAGGCATTAGTTTACTTCCTAATGCCAGGAAACAATTTTGTCTCTAACCCAGGGAACATCTGGCAATGTCCAGAGATATATTGGATTGTAACAATTGGGGGAAAGGGAGTGCTACTGGCATCAGTTGGCAGAGGCCAGAGACGCTGCTAAACATTCTAAAATGCACAAAACAGCTCCCCCTCAACAAATAATAACGTGGCCCAAAATGTCAGTAGTGCTGAGATTGAGAAGCACCAGCTAGAAAATGACCTATATAATCCATCATAGTTTCCTCTTTCAATGGCTGTTAGGATGTTCAGAGAAAAGTCAGCTATCCAGAGTTTGCTCTCCCTTATTCACTTGTGACTTTTTTCCCTACCACATCTCAAAGCGCTGCAAGACATTCTAGATAGTAATGAATGTTATTCTAGGAAAATATCAGAGATGCCAATTTCAATACCTTTCTGGTACGTTAAGAGTTACATAATTTAAACACAATACTGTATTAAATCAAGGGTCAGGTAGTATTTTAGACGCAATAAATATAAAATTTCTTACCTTAAATAGACAATGGCATATATATTCATATACCATATGTTTTAATGAGCTGATAAGAGACTGGATTCGCTGTTCTGTATTTTCAGAATCCTGTAGATTACAATTTGAAAATTGAAAAACCATTAGGGAATTCATAAATATTTAAAAGATACCCCATAGTTTAATCACAATTATAAATTGTTTCTCAAGACTCAAAGCTGATTCTGAAACAATTATCTTTGCCAATCAAACACAAAGAATTAATTAAATAAGTGCATTAAACTTGTACTCTAACACAATCGAAAAAAATTATGTCTTTTTCTTTAATGTGTAGAGTTGTTATATAGAAAACCACCGGCCCCAAATGGCGTCACTTGTGCTGAAAGCCCATGATACAAAACCTACATTTAATATCTGTCCTAATTGCAGTTTTAACCTTCACTAGAAATGCAATCTTAATCAACCAGTCTAGAATTTTCCGGTCAGGCACCAGTAACCTATTATTTAGGCCCTATTCATCCCCTCCTCACCCTCACAAAGTAAAAAGAGGCAATCTGTATAATAAAACCTTCCCTATTCCCTTCCTCCAAAAAAGATGATGTCTAGGACTAAAAACTCCTTTCTTTTCTTTTCCTAATAGCTCCTTTGCCATCTCTTCTTCCTATAAAAACCTTCCACTTTGTACAACCCTTCAGAGTGCCCTTCTACTTGTTCCACAGGATGCTGCTCAATTCATGAATCGTTTAATAATACCAACTATAGCTTCAATTTTACTCTATTGAATTTTATTTTGACAGAGTTAAAGCTTTTAATAAATAAAAATTACAATCAATTTCCAATATAATATGAATTAAATGTGATTATAATATCACTTTGATTCCTACTGGAATTAAAAATACTACATCACGGGCCGGCCAAGAGGCGCGTTGGTTAAGAGCTGGCTTGGGACACCTGAGGGCCTCGGTTCGGATCCCACATATGAGGGCCAGTGACACTGCCCTCCATAGCTAAGCTGCTGAACAACAGCTCAACCTGGAGCTGGGCTGCCATGGGTCGCCAGCAACGGCGTAGGCTGCAGCCCCTGTGGCAGTGGGTTCCCATGGGCTACCGTGTGTAGCCAGCAGCCAATGTGAGCGGCCAGCAGCCAGTGTGAGCAGCTAGCAGCCGCCGAGAGTGGCAATCCAGAAGCCAGCGACTGATCTGCCTCACCCGGGAAAAGCGCAATGATGGTGCCAACTTGGGCCAGTGAAGCAACGTCCTCCACAACTAGACTGAAGAACAAAAGGGACAGCAACTTGTCTGTTCCCCTTTCCACAATTCCCCAGCACTGTTCCCATCCCCCAGTTCCCCAATAAAAATCTTTAAAAAAAAATACTATATCACTTTGGGGTAAAACCATTTCATTGCTTGAATTATAGTTACCAATCCAGCCCCAAACAGTATGACCAGAATCACCCTATAAAGAATATTTTTATCCTCAATATAAGAACCTAAACAACCTTAAACCATGCCCTTCAAGTTGAATAAGGATGAACAATAACTTTGATATTGGTGCTGTAAAAATTCATACGCAGCTTTAGTATGTTTATACTTCCATTACATGATTTTTATACTTCCATTTTTCCATTTTTTATACTTCCATTCTGTACTTCCATTGTACATGATTGCCCTGATATGAAAAAAATACCATTAATGACTATTTCCTTTGATTCATGAAAAATGGCTTGGGGTAGAAACAGGGGAAGAGATTGTAAAAGCTAGTCTTTTCCCTAAATGTAATATGAGTTTTATATCTCACTTCAAAGAGCATTTGGAGAATACATGCCTGACAAAGTCAATTCAGGTATAATATTTATATTTGTTTGTTTCCTTGTGATTATAATTGACAAGGGAAAAAAAATCTAGTGAAATAATTTCAACAGTTTCACTTTAAAATATCCAGGATGAGCAGTGTAATATGTGAAATTGGTACAAAACATCATGAAGTGGCATTTATGTGCATCAAACCTAGGTTTCTGGCCATATGAGTAGCATGTTCTAACTGAGAACTCATCGTTTACAGTTCGTATAGCAAGCACTCCTCTTCATTTCACTATTTACTAACAAAGATCACATGTGAAACTGAAATTTGGATCCACTAAAAGATACTCTATTATGAGACAGAGTGAAGTTATCTACAAGATCCAGTGGATTTTCAAACATTGGAAAGCAAGTTTTGTACTCTACATATTTACGATTACATTACTTTTTAAAACATTCAAATGTACACACACAAATACACATCAGTGTTATGTAATGGCCACATTATCACAGAACTATTGTTACTGAAGGGATACTGAGTTGTAAACTTTTCTAAAGAGTACAAAATAATCAATATTCTAACTAAGTTTATTAGAACTTCTAATTTATTTATTAGTTCTCATACTGGTTTAGAGACACTTCACTTTAACATGAATATATCTGACTAAAGGATAAAAAGAAATTTAAAATGAACTTATTACTGTGTTCTTTCTAAGTAATCTATGAGAAATTTTAATGTAAAAAAGATAGGCATAAATGACTCTTTAGTTTTATCTGTTGACATAGTGAATTATGTAATACCAATCATATATCATGAACCAACTCTCACAGGCTTTTTTTTTTGTAAAAATGCTTTTACCAGTACAATATTATAAGAGGTTTGAATAAATTTAACAATATTCTAAAATTCAAAAATATTTTATAAAAACTAAGGACCAATTATTTATTCTTCTGTCTTTCTCCTGCCTCTAGAATCCCAATGTTTGTCCAAAGGACATTACAAATATAAATGACAAAAACGCTTGTCTTTCCTACCATGACTGAGTAGACAGATTTTTGCTAATAAAACCTACCACCAAAGCACTATCTCTTCATTAGGTACTGTTTTATTTCAATTTTGAATGTAAGAGCAAGTTCAAATGAGATATGTTAGTGAAAAAAAATCAGTAAAAATTTAATCATCATATATAATCAGCTAAAGATTTTCTGAAATAACTCATTCACGAAAACATTAAATAGTCATGAAAATGAAGACAAGAATTGTCCCGTTTTGTTCCCTGCTGTAAATCCAAATACCTAGAAAAATGTCTGACACATAGTGAGACATTTAATAGTGAGTCTGTAATAAATAGAATAATCAATAATCATTCCTCAGAAAACATATTTTAGTAAACCTACTTGAATATAATTTTACCCTAAATTAACTAAAAGAACACATTACTCTCCCCTAAAAAAATAGCTTAAAAAAACACCCATATTACTATTATACCAAACACAATACCTATGACGAATAAGCAGATAAATTTTGTCTCATAAAAATATTTTAGAAATAAAGTAAAAAGGCAGATAATAAACTCAAAATGTTTACAACATATGAAAAGTTTTAACATCTTCAATATTTAAGTCTCTTATAACTCAATTTTAAATATATTAATAAAACAGGCTGTAAGTGATAATAATAATTCACCAAAGAAGAAATACAAATATAAAATAATCCTATATTTATCTTACAAGTGATATTTATCTTACAAATGATCAAAGACTTGCAAATTCAATAAAATATTTTTAAATTACCTAATAGGAAAGTTATTCAAAGATACATAATATCCATTGTTGGTTAAGGTATAGATGGAAAAAAGCACTCTCATTGCATCAGCTTAATACACCAATAGCATGAGTATGTTTCCAAAAGATAATTAGACAATATTTGTGTAAAGGCTTACAAATGTGCATTTTTGCTCCAGTTATCCAAATCTAGGAATTTAACTAAGAAAATAACTGGAGAAGCAAAACACTAAAAATTACTAATAAATGTCTATAGATATTTTGAAACATAACCACCAATTTCTGATATCCCTTCCATCAAAACGTGAAGTATATTTCCCCATCCCCTTGAATGTGAGTATGTCTGTGACTGCTTCAACCAACAGAATACAGCAGAAATGACACTGACACAAGGCTGGGTTATAAACGGTGATTTACCTTCTGTCATGTTCACCACAACACACATATTTAGCGCCCCCAGGTATAATATGAGAAATCCACCTACTCTGTGCTGTGAGAAAGCCAAGTGTTTCATGGAAAGGTGCAGCAGTCGGCAGTGCTATCATCAAGTCCTCCCTCCCCAGGCACCAGGCATGCAGGCGATGCCTCTCCCCACCCCCCAAATCACACTCCAAAGTCCTCCCAACTGACATCCCAGATATTAAGAAGCAGAGATAAGCCATCCCTGCTCTGCCCTAACCAAATTCCCCACAAAATCCAGTATAAGAAAGAATCCATGAGCATAGGAAAAACAATTTTAATCTGCCAAATTTGGGGATCATATGATATTCAGCATAAGTAATCAGAACAATGTCCATGTATGTGGTCGTAAAATAAAGTACAGTATAGTGTCAAAATCTCTCAAAAATATTGTGTAGGTTAATATTTATTGACATGAAAGTTGTCCACAATATACTAATAATTTTTTTAGACAGTATGATACCTTTTGGTTACAGTAATTTATATCCTTTAATATATCCTTCCCTCCATTAGAATATAAACCCGAAACAAGCAGTGTATACGCTTATATCCCCATTACCTAGAACAATAACAGGCACATATTACAGCCTCAAAAAACAAGGATATACAGTGAAATTTTAAATGGTATTTTCCCCAAGATATGGAATTATGCGGATAATTCCTTATCTTTATACCTTACTGAATTATCTGTGGTTTTTAAATGATCATCTATTACTTATAAATTTGTACTTAGAACATACATCATTTCTATTAAGAAGACTGTCACAAGGGGACAATCTGTTAAGAATACAAACTATAGTTAAGGAGCTAGTTTCTTCTAATACAGTTTAAAATTGTTACATGTGGTCTTCTGAAATATAATTCTAAACAAATTTTCTCAGGAAATTATTATTATAGATTAATCACCTACTAAAGTGATGTCTCTTATTCAGTCTCAGCTACAGGGTAAACAACAGCATACCTGTTTGTTTTGCAGAGCCCGCTGGAAAAGTCGGAGAAATGAAGCCAAACTAAAACGGTACATGTTATTAATTTTGGACAAGTCAGAGATAATGAAGTACATCTTGCTGGCACTCTCAGCCAGAGGAAGATAGGCATCACGCTCCTGTGGATCATTGGTTTGGGGAGAAAAATAACACCTCAGTACCAGTGCTTTACTGCCACCTACAGGCCACTATGCACATATCTAGCCACAGCTTTACAATTCCTACATATATTATCCAACAAATGAAGATGACAAATCATAGAATTTTATAACTAAAAGAACTAGCATGATCTAGTTTTTATTTTTATAAAACTGAGGGCAATCTATTTTAAATACTTCTCTACAACTCAGATTACAAAGCTAGAAGTGGTTCATGGATTGATCTTAATGTGGACCAAGAGCACCTGTATTAGGGGAAAGAGAATGAGACGGAATGGCAAACAGTTGTGATCAGAATAAATGATGCAATTTTATATTTCAAAATAAAAATAGTTTAGGTAATGCAAGAGGGCATGGCACTACGACGCTATTTCTGCAGTAGACAAAAGTTAGAACTATGAATCTAGTGTGTGGGACTGGTGTCAACAAGAACACTGAAGGAACTAGAGTCAAGAGGACTGTAACAGGTGTCCACATTAAGGTAATAAAGCACCTAGCATTGTTTAACATACATAGAAAGACCCAATGACCACAGGGGCTTTCATTCTGACTAAATGTAAAGGATGACAAAAATGAGAGGATGGCAGTATTAAATGGCCTCAAGGTTCTGAATGGAACTCTGACTAGGTTCTTCAGGTTATTTTGATCAAAGCAGCAGGGTTACAAATATGATATTGGTAAAATTATGTGTGTGACTCAACAATGCCTGTTCAGAGAAAGAAGTCACAGAAAGTTCAAATTCCTTTTGATACAGAATGACAATCATGACATCTGCCAAGTTTAGAGTAGGTGACTGGATTGGAATCGAGCTATAAGTTTGCTCTTACTCTGGTTTCAACAGAGCTCTTTCCCAAGTGAAGAAAGTAATAATACGTAATTGTAAAATTTGAGTGAGGGCTGAAAAATACTGAAATGGAAATGTGAAAAAGTGAATGGGAAAGAATTTAAGGATATCAGTGAGGGCCCAGGTCAGTTTGGAGCTTGCAAATTCATAGTAACATTAATCTGCTTGGTTGTCTGATTTTCTTCACACAGAGTTCATTCACTAAAATACACAGGAGGAAAAGATATATTGTACTGATAGGGGGTTGGAATTGTACAAAAAGAAATATAAAAAAAAGTGAAAAGCATTTTAATCATTCATAAGAAAATAATTCAGATTATCATAATCACGCAGTCTAGGATACATAGGGGGAAAAAATTTAGTGGAAAAAATAGCTTATACCTCTTTTAATTGAGGTTTTGACTTGCCTTAAGTTCCAAGAATGACAAAGATGATTTAACAGTCATTTTCATTATTCATTTTCAATTTTAGTAAAAAACTGTAGCTTTAGATAATGTTATGCCAGAAATCAGTAGAACCCAGCAGGGTATACCGACCTCATCCTCGTGTCCTCAACAGCTCATCACCTTCTCTATAGCAAGAATCAGACCAAAGGATATGGTGTTTTGAATAGCTTTCTATTTTTGCAATCATTATTTCTCCGAAGTCCTGATTCTACATTTTAATCATATTAACATAAAAGTTTAGGAAAACATGATATAAAATCACAGAGAAGGAATACTTACTTGATCAAGGAAAATCTGGAGTTTATAAGATTCTTTCAGTGACTCTTGAATAAGTGCACTGCTTGCTTTTGTCTGATTCAAAGATTCGATCAAATCCTTATTTTCCAAAATATTACCTTGAGATGTGGCAAGTGTCTGTAGAAAAAAATTAACAAAATCATATTAACATTATTATACTTATTAAAATAATCAATTAAAGGAAGCTCATATTAACTATCATTAACTTGACAATGTTCTCATAAATATCATAAGTATGATATAGTAAACCATTATATGATACTATATCATATCATCAAACATTGCATATGTATTAATTATATTAATCTAAAATTTAAAAACTACTTAAAGTTACAGATTAAGTCACAATTTCATGCTACCTTTTAATGTTTCTTAAAATTCTGAGCATTTAACAAATACTTATTAGTGAAACAATCCAGTATAAAGACAGTATTAGGTAAAAATTACTTATCTTAAATATTATTTATTAAGATCTTGTATTGTAAGATATCAACTTTTTTGTTTGAATTGTGATTTTTTAAAGAAAAAAATATACAAAAAATTATCCTGAATAACTAAAGTTTACCTCTAAAAGAGATTCCTCAAGCTTGGCTAACTGTATTTTCTTATCCTCTTCCTGTTGCAATAGCTTTGTTTTCTGTTCCTCTAAATCAGGTTTCTCATGCTGAATAGTTAAGGCCAAAAGCTTAAAAAAAATATTTAAGGTCAAGTTTAGTCTAGAGATAAGATTCAAACAAAACAATACAAAACCAAAACTTCCCACAAACAGGACTTGTGTTTGACCAAATACTACAAGTATTATAATACTATATACCTCAGTTGATTCTTTCTAATTAAATATGTGAAACACCTTCACAATTATTTCTTACAAAAACAGAGGCAAAATAAATAAACTCACAGAAAAAATGTTAAATATTATAGGACAAGTATAAGATATTGCATAATTTAACATATCAATATGGAATATTTAGTTCTAAAATTAGATTACATATGTAAAAACTATGGAAGCTGGCATTTTTTAGTTATTTTTATTTACTTTTTAAAATTTCTTTAGCTGACCCATCCTGCCACCTGTTGGCAGCTCAGCTTGGGCCGTGAATCAAACCGGCGAACCTGTTGCTCACAGCTTGCACTCTTGAGCGAGCCCTTAACCAACTGAGCCACTCGGCCGGCCCTTGGAAGCTAGTGTTTTTTAATGGTAAGTATTCACATAAAGAAATAAAAGATACTTGAAATACTATACCATCAAAATCACAATGAAATACCACTTCACACACACTATATGTCTACAGCTAAAAAGACAAATAATAACAAGTGTTGGCGGAATGTGGAGAAAGTGGTACACTCATACATTGTTGGTGGGAAAGTAGCGCAGCCACTTTGAAAAGTTTGTTATTCAAAATGTTAAACATAGAGTTATCATAAGATCCAACATGTCCACTAAAAATATAATTGAATTGGTACTTCCGGTAAGATGGTAGAATAGACAGACGCTGTGCCGACTACTTCCCAGGATCACAACAAAATTACAAATAATTTATAAGATATTCAACCTCGGAAGTTCCCTGGACCCTAGATGAACAGAACCTCTAAACGAAGGACTTAAAGAGGAGGCCACGTCAAGTCCGGGTGTCAGGTGGTCACATGTCTTGCATCATGGATGGGGAAGAGGCTTGATCACTGCACTGTATACCTGAAGCTGATGTTGTATAATATTGTATGTCAACTATAAAGTGAGCATATATATGTGTGTGTGTGTGTGTGTGTGTGTGTGTGTGTGTGTGTGTGTGTGTGTATATATATATATAAAATAATTGAATTGTACACTGTAAGTGGGTGAATTGTATGGTATGTGAATTGAATCTTACTAAAGCTGTTTTTAAAAATGCTATGCCAGAGCTGGCTGAGTGGCTCAGGTGGTTAAGAGTGAGCTTAAGAGCGCGAGCTCTGAGCAACAGAGCCACCAGTTCGATTCCCACATGGGCCAGTGACGCTGCGCCTGAGCTGAGCTGCTGCTGAGCTGCTAACAGGTGGCAGGATGGCTCAGCTGGTGAGAGCACGTGCTCCTAACAACAAGACTGCCTGTTCATTGGTGGGCTGTGCCCGCCCACAACTAGGACTGAACTCGGCACCTTGAGCTGAGCTGCCGTCCGGATGGCTCAACGGATACAGCATACACTGTTAACAACAAGGCTGCTGGTTCAACTCCCACATGGATGGTGGTTATGCCCACCCACAACTAAGACTGAACTCGGCACCCTGAGCTGAGCTGCCACCCAGATAGCTCAGTGGATACAGCGTGCACTCTTAACAACAAGGCTACTGGTTCGACTCCCACATGGGATGGTGGCTATGCCCACTCGCAACTAAGATTGTAACACAGCACCTTGAGCTTAGAGGCCACAAGCTGCTGACGGGCAGCCAGATGGTGACAGCTAGGATTGAGCAACAACAACTTGGCTGGCCCCCTCACCAATTCCCCAACACCGTTCTTCTCCCCCAATTCCCCAATTAAAAAAAAATGCTATGCCAGATTCTTAATTTTGAAACTATAAATTAGAGAATGACATTGGCATGTTATAAACTACATAATTCAAAATCTGCTCTACAAGCATCTTCACTTAGTTTTTGTTAAAATAAGATCTAAATAGCCACTTTCAGCAATTACCATGGAGAGCATTTAGATAGAAGGAGCAATTTCATCAATCCCGCCAAGTTTTCAGTAATTTTTCCATTGTTTTATTTATAAGAAGTATCAAGTAAAAAAATACTATTCATAAAAATATATGTAGTGAGCCATATGCTATGGTAAGAAAAATATTTTAAAAGGAAGTTTTAGTAATTATAATAAAGTAAAAAAGTGCAACAAACATACATGCTATCATAAAGCAAAAGAGAAAAAAGTATTGTTAGGTGAGTAAAAAATAGGATGATACTCAAAAAGTTAACAGGTATTTCTTTAAAGAGGAAAAAAATGAGTGACTGCTTATGTAAGTAAATTTCTGGACAAGGAAAATTATTTTTAAATCCATTCAGTAATAAACCATACACAGATGCAGTAATTCAGGATGTATTATGTTCTGGCGGGGATAAAAAATTGTAGACTGGGAATCAAAGATCCTCAACTAGCTAGATAGGTCAATTAAATGCAATTTTCACATTTAAACTTCAATTTTTACAATTAAAAAATAAAGTAGCTGATCTTAATCTCTATTCTCCTTCCTCTCTTGAATTCTACCATATATGACAGAGATAGACTGTAAAATTAAAGTTACACTAGAAGCAGCAATGTGGCATTAGCAACAAATTTCCAAGTCCAACACAAACAATACATGTAACAAGCCCAAAGGCTTTACTCTTAGGTTGCAAGTACCGTATTTCCCCATGTATAAGACGCACCTTAATTTTGGGGCCCAAAATTTGAAAAAAAATGTATTACATAAAGTTATTGAATTCAAGTTTTATTAATCATAAAATTCATACAACTCCTCATCACTGTCAAAACTCCCAACCATAAGCTTGTCCTTATCTGTGTCTGATGACGAATCACTGTCTTCATATATTGCCTCGTCTTCAGTTCCATCTATGGCATTTGAAATACCATGCTTCTTAAATTATTTGACAACGATCTCAATCTTGATATTATCACAGGATCTTTTCACCCAGGTACAAACTTCTTCTATAGTTGGTTTCTTCAATCTTCCTGCTGGTGTCAAATTGTCCCTAGAAGACTTACTTCATCCATTGGTTCCATTCATCTCATGGCAGCTTTGAAGGGTTTGTTAATGCTGACATCAAGTGGTTGGAGCTGGAATGTCAAGCCCAGGTATGACAGCAAGTTTTGTTTTTAGCTCTGCAGCAATCTTCTTTGTGTTTTTTGTTATGTGTGCCCTGAACTGATCAAGTACCAATAGGGCAGGTTTGTGTAAGATCCCACCTGGTCTCCTGCTCCAAACTTTCTCAAACCAGATCTTCATCCCATCCTGATCCATCCAACCCTTGTCATGAACGTGGACAATTACTCCTCGAGGAATGTCTTCTTTTGGCATTGTTTTGCATTTGAAAATCAGCACAGGAAGCAGGTTGGTTCCGTCGGCACAACAAGCTAGAACAACTGTATAATGTCTCTTTTCATGTCCACTTGTCTTCACAGTTACAGTTTTCACCCTCTTCTTGTCAACAGTTCTGTTACTTGGGACATCAGATTGAAGGGGGACTTCATCCATATTTGCAATCTGTCCCAACTAAAACTGATGTGTCTTCCGACATTGAATGACAAAACTATGAAATTTAAGGACCTTCTGCTCATAGCTTTAGGCATCTTTTGGGCAAGTCTGGTGCATGTACACATGCTTAGTCCGTTCCATTTCATGAACCTGAAGCACCAATTGTGTCCTCCTTTGAAATCAGTTACTTCTTTTTCATCAGCAATTCTTCTTGCCTCATGCTGAACCATCTTTGTGGACACAGAAATTCCAATTGCCCTTTGCTCTTCAATCCATATCTTCAATTCCCTCTCTAAATCTGGCCATTTTGCTGACTTGCCTCTCATGTCCTTCTTCTGCTGTGGCGTTTTCAGTAGGGTTTCTTCTTCCTGTAGCCAATCTTGGATTGTTTTCTCAGTTGGAGGACCAAACTTATCTTCAGCAACACAATTTTTATTCACTTTTGCAAACTGGATCACTTTTAACTTGAATTCAGCACTGTACAAAAATCTTTTCTGAGCCATTTCTGGGCAGAACGTGGCAAAACGTAACCTACTGTAACATACCGGTAACAAGTGCAAAACAATGAACACAAAGACAACAAGCATGAAAAAGCAGGAAATGCAAGTAAAAAAATCTACAACAATGAGCACAAAAAACAAGTGTGAAAAAAGCGGGAAATGCAAGTAAAAAAATCTACAACCACTGTATAAGACAAAGCCAGTTTTTAGACCCCAAATTTTTCGAAAAAGGGTGCGTATTATACATGGGGAAATACGGTATATTTTCCAAAGATTAAATGCTAATCAGTTTAACAAAATAGTTTCCCACTCAAAAGAACTAACAGTACCCAAAACTACAAAAGATTTTTAAGGTACATTATGATTGACGTATACCTGTCCTTGTAATCCACTTCGTGTTGTAGTAAAGTTAACTTCAGTAACAATGGAAGCTGCATCAGGTGGAATAAAGGGATTTGGGTTTCTTGTTGACAAAAAAAGGCGGAATTCTTCATTGTAGTCAATAATCTTGTCACCGATTTGTACCACATAACGTGGTCCTATTTTTTTAAATGACACAATTAGTTGTATTGAATATTCTGTATTTTGCTACATGATATTAAAAAATATAATCTAGCATTTCTAAATAGTTTATATTATAGTCTTTTCAATAGAGTCCAAAAGACAGCAACAGTTAGACTACCCAAGATACTATTAACCAGAATGCTTTATTAATTGGCATTTTGCAAGCAACTATAAATAATATTCATTAAGATGATCCTTGGGTCCTGAAGCATCGAAGGTGTCTACTTACATTCAGTACGGTTTTAATGTTAATTATATGTTTCATATTCTAAATTTTTCTGAAATGATTAATTATAGATTACTAAAAAAAATAACTCAATTATATATTATTCTCTATTTCTAAATTCATCAGTTAAACAGTGTTTATTATACCTGTAATTAAGATGAAATGCTTGAAGACAGAATGAACTGACGAAAACCTAGGATTATCAACATCTGAGTAATGGCAAAGATACCCATTAATAATACCACAAAAGATTTATTTAGACTGCCATACACAGGTGATTCATGACAAGAAGTTAAATTAAGAAAAATAAAGTTCTGCCTTATAAAGGATTACATTATAAAATAAAAAATAATAATATTCATTATACAACATATATAGAGAAATGAATCATTATATCCATAACTTACGCTTTTAAATTGACAACAAATAATTGACTTTTAAGTACAAAATACATATTCTCAAAGGTTAAGAAAAACATTTTAAGGAATTTTGAGAATATCAAAATAGATATAAATTTTTGCTTAAAAGTTTAAGTTAATGTGAAAAGAATTCAATAAGCACTTTGTGAAAGGATATACAAATGTAAAAAAAAAAAGAATAATACTGAACTTTAATCATCAGAGAAATATAAATTTAAAAGCCCAAAGTAATACCTCTACAATAACTGGAAATGATTAAAGAATCCTTAAGCCGAATAAATGCAAAAAAACCTCAATTCTAAAGACATAATAGTCAAACCACTGAAAATCAATGACAAACATTTTAAAGCATCCAGAGAAAAATGACACGTCACATACAAAGGAGCAACAATAATATAAGCAGGCTATTTCTCAATGGAAATGACATAAGCTAGAAAACAATGGAATAAAAACTTTCAAGTGCTAAAGAAAATAACTGTTAACCTAGAATTCTATGTCAGACAGGAAAAACAAAATCCTTCAAAAATAAATGAAAAAGAAGTTTGCTTCCACCGGGCCTTCACTAAGTGAAATACAAAAGTAAATCCTTCAGACAGAAGAAAAATAATCCAGATGGAAATGCTGGGAGAATTTAAGAACAATAGAAAGGGTAAATATGTATAAATATAGATTTTACATAATAATTATAACATCACCTGGAGCATGACAATGCATCACAACAAATATGCAAAGGCAGGCAGGGGGTATATGGAGCTAAAGTACAGTGCTGGAGAAGTGACAAAGTGTTTGTATTAAAATAACAAGTCAAAGACGTATGTTGTTATACGTAGAGTAACCATTAAGAAATCATAAAAAACTGATCAAAAAAATCAGGTTACTTAAAAACTGTATCAGTTATTGGATGAATTGTTTGATTGTATTAAATTACAGTACAAATATTAACACTGCACGATGAATGAAAATGCAAAACCAAATGATATGTACCAAGTTTGAGAGACACGCTTTACTAAAAGACCAACAGAAAATGGAAAGTAAAAGAATGGAAAGGAATTACCATGCCAACACTAGGCACCAAAATTTATTGTACCCATTCTAATATCAGACTCAAAAACTTGAGACATTACTCGAGATAAAGATGGGCGTTTTATAATGTTAAAGAAAATAACAGAACAGAAAGATATCACGTTTCCAAATATTTATGCATCTAAAAACATAGTTCCAAATATTTAAAGCAAAAATTCACAGAATTAAAAGCAAAACTGACAAATTCAAGATAATAGAAACTTTAAGATATTCTTTCAATACAGGACAGGAAAAAAGGTGAAGACATGGAAGATAACAATATAATTAACAAATTGACTTAATTGATTTTAGGGAAATTAAAACAACCATGAAAAAAATTCACATAATTTTGAATTGTACATGGAACATTTATGAAAATTAATTAATGTCAGAGCATAAAATATGCTCCAACAAGATTTAAAAAACTGAACACTTCAGAATAAATTTTCTGACCATAATGGAGGTAAGCTAAAAATCAATAACAAAAAAGGTAACTGGAAAACCTCCAACTGCTTGGAAATTAAACACCACCAAAAAATTGCTAACTAATTTACAAATCAAAGAAGAAATCAAAATTTGTGGTGTGAAACTATGAAGGACTTAGAGGGAAACTAATTGATATAAATGAATACATTCAGAAAAAGAAAAGAGTAAATACCAATATTTTAAATTTCCATTTCAAGGAATTAGAAAAAGGAAGATCAAATAAAATTTAAGAAAGTAACACAAATGAAGTAACAAAGAGCAAAAAAAATCAGTTTAAAAATACAATAGAGTCACAGGAATGTATTCTACAACATAGGGAATATAATCAATAATATCATAATAACTGTATGGTGACGGACGATTACGAGACACATGGTGATCATTTTGTTAGATATATAGATGTTGAATCACTATGTTGTCCACCTGAAACTAATATTGTATGTCAACTATACTTTAGTTTTTAAAAAGGATTATATGAATATACTATTTTAAGCATAATAAGCAATTATATCTTTTTCATGATTGTTAATGAAAATATTCTATCAAAATTAAAATGAGATATATGTGAAAAAATAAAACCACAATAGAGAAAATTAACAGTTAAAAGTTGGTATTTTTTTAAAAAAATTAAAATTGATAAACCCTTATCAAGACTGATCAAAAAAGAAACAATATTAATATCAAGAAAAAGGAGATGCCATTACAAAGCAGAATTTATAAAGTTATGAAACTTACATAAAAAAATACACCAATTCATATTGACAATTTGGATGAATGGACAAATACCTTAAAAAAAAATACAGCTTAACCAAAGCTGACACACTCACATAATAGAGGATACACACAAAACAAATTAAATCCAATGCTGAAAGGGCCTCAGCTCAGGATTACTGGCATTTGCAATAAAAGACTGATCATCATGGGAACTGTGCATTGTCTTAACAAGAAGGTATTCATATGCTTTTTATAGGATTTGGACTTATGTAAGGTGATTTGGGGAGGACTCAAACAAAGCGTGATTTTGCCGGGGCATGAGTGCTATCAAAAAGAACAGACAATTCTATGAATTTCATCTTAATAATTTTCATCTAGAAGGTGACAGAAATGGAGACTGAGTTAATATTGGATTAAAAAAGCAGCAGTCACTCAAATTATCTGGGAGAGAAAGATGTTTGGTTATTTTTGTGATATGGAAAATGTTCTTGTTTTTTTGTGCTCAGACATGATTATGGTCAGAGTGACCTGTCTGATGTTGGTGCTGAGAAATGGCTTATGTACAACAGGAGGACAAAATAGCCAAGCTATTAGAGCCAGGGCAGCTCCCAGCACACAGTTGTCAAATGCTGCTCTTTTTTTTTTTCCCCCTCATTTTATGCAATGTACAAATACAAGCAAAACTTATCTATGTTAGTGTAAGTAAAAAATGTGGTTATCCTTGTTGCAGGCAGTGGTAAATAAGGGCGCTCTGGAGTGTTGACGAAGTTCTATATATTGATCTGGGTGCTTATATATACATACACATATACATACATATATTTCCACAAAGCATTAAAATTGAAAAATAACCGGTTTCTCTGGTGAGAGGACTACTCTTGAGGAAGACAGGGACAAAACCCTACTGCCATTCTGCACTGTTTGATTTTGCAACCCATGCATGTATTATTTTGATATAGCATTTTAAAAAAATTCAAAGTAAATGGCTTATTATCTAAAAAAAGACCCTTGGATATAAGTCCCATATACTACTCTTAGAAAATATCAAATGTACAACTATAAAGTCCAACACATTCTGAACTGTAAAAAGTCTTAATTTACTTTGGCATTAACCTATAATTCAGTTAATTTTGACCAATTATTTTCTTCAGGACACAAAATCTTTACTGTAGTTTAGAGAACTCTCTTTCCAGAGGAAGTCCTAATTTACATGTCTATTATCTTTTTCCTGAACTTGAACCAGGGTTGAGAATATATACATATATTCTCAGCAATATGTATAATCTAATATATATATATATATATATATATATATACACACACACACACACACACACACACACACACACACACACATATAATGTGTGTGTGTGTGTATATATTGTTTTTGGTTAGCATGTATAATAGATATGAACATTTGGGCTGTTTATATACAAGGATATATTAACTGGATAAATTCATTGTAAGGCCTTGATGATTTCTATAACAATCAGCTGAAGATACAGGCAAGATCATTCTATAAAGTGTACCCAAATCCTGCCAATATTGAAATGCATCATGCCAGGAAATGAAAAACAAACTTAAGTCTTTTTGTACCAGGGAAGGGTACTACATAATTTTATCTGTCTCGATTTTGGAAACAATGTTGCATGAATCGTCTACTATGACCACTGGAACTTAAACCAGGAAGTGGCTACCACTGCTTCCCAAGTGCCTGACATAATAACTTAAAAAGTTGCTGCCATAGCTGACACTTGATATGTAGACTTGGACATTGCTAATGATTATAATGTTTTCTTTTTTATATTCTTTTGGGATGAAGACCAAATTCAGTTTATCTGTTGTATGCAGTATACCTTTATAGGTCCAAACTCTTCAGAAATATATTATCATCTGAGCTAGATAAATTCAGTACCATGTGAACTGCCATATAGGTGGAAACACTACATCATATAGATAAGATTTTGGTAATGGTCTCCACTGAGAAAACGTCTCACATTCATTGGTATTGAATACTATTCAAGCCCAACTAACTAGAGATGAATGGGACTTAAATGAAGACAAATAAAAAACCCTGCCACTCAAATAACCAAATTGACATTGCCCAAGGAGACATC